TGTGTGTGAGAGATTGTGTGTGTGTGTGTGTGAGAAACAAAAGTTTCTGGACAGAGTTAAACAATAATAATAATCCTTGCAATTGATACAGCGCCTGATCACGTCTTCGAGACGTCTCAAAGCGCTTCACAGGATACACTGTAAAGTGAAATGACTGGATATTTTGTGGGCGAAACCCGGCAGCCAATTGCGTGCAGCAGCGTCCCCGCAAACAGCCGTGGATCAATATTATTTGTTTTTTTCTTCATTTGAAGGGATTATTACCCCCGGAAAAGTGATCCGCCAATCGACTAACAACCGAGTACCTACTTAGAGAGTAGCTACTTACAGAGCATGACAAGTCTGTGCATTTATTGTTGGTGCCTTACATTAAATGCAAGGATTGGATTATTAATTTAATTTATTAGTAGTAATCAATTAATTATTAAATACAACTGGCTGCCACATTTCACCCACAAAATACACAGTCAGTCCACTTTACAGTACATCCTGTGAAGCACTTTGAAACGTCTCACTGATGTGATAAGCCACAATATCAAAAGCAAGGATTATTATTACTACTGCATCGTCGGAACGTCTTGTGGTGCTTTGCAGATTTTCCCATCAAGTGCAAGTGACTGTGTGCGTTTCGTTGGGCGAACGCAGCAGCCAATTTGTGCCCGCCAATACCCCATTAAGGAGTTGTGAAGTGAATGACCAGTTTTATCTGGGGGATTGTTCAAGCTTTTATTGCATATAATATTTTATGTTGCATATAACGTTTTATGTTACTCTTGGTTACAAGTCACCAGCTCTACAGCAGCAATTTAATGTAGTGACACCTCTGAGTCAGAAGATTCAAGTCCAACGTTGGGACTTTGAACTTGCTGAGTTGGCAGAAGTGTCATTTTTTGGACCTCTGGTATTTGTTGCCGATCGCTCAAAAGGAAAATAATAGAACTCCCTCATACTCTCTGCCTTGTCCCCTCCTTCAGATCACGTCTGCAGACCTTCCTCTTCAACAACAACAACAACAACAAGATTCCATTTATAAAGCGCCTTTCACATCAGGAGGACGTCCCAAGGCGCTGACCGTTCTTCGACCGTTCTCACGGTCACCTCCTCCCTCCCCTCGGCTCGGGACGGGCTCCGCCACTGTTAAGCGCTCCGAGACACTACCGCATATGAATGGCGCTATGTAAATGTAAGTTGTTGTTGTTGACCAGTAAGTTTCACCACGTACAGGACGTGGATTTATAAGAAATGAAAGTGCGTAACTGTGTATGTGGGTGTGGGGGGACGGGTGTGGGGGGCATATCTGTTACTGGTGACCGAGTGTCTGTGTGTAGCCAAAGCCAATAACATCCCCCCAGTTTACTGGCATGTATGAGCCTCAGACAGTCACGACCTTGAAACGGTGACCACAGATTGAGGATGGAACGCCATAACCACTAGACAGTGATTGCAGTTGTGATCCGCCTACAAACTAGACTGACGTGGAGCTTCCATTTGGCACTGAATTCCTCCAACTGGCTTACTGACAAATGCGATAAAAAAAACTCACGGACAAAAATCACAACTGCATCCATTTTTTTTTAAGAGAGATGTCCACAATGTAACCTGATTAGAATGCTCAAAGATCTTCCAACCACTGATCGCGAAACCACCTTCAGCATCGCCTCAATAAAGACTGAGAGAGAAAAAGAGAAAGAAGGAAAACCCGTGACCCCGTGAACACAGTCAAGCCATGAATGCCTCGAACATCTGTATTACGAGTGAGACTTAAAACTAAAGGATGTGGAGTATAGATTTGTATCTGCGGCACACAAAATAACTGCAATAACTCACTTCATTGCTGTTAGTGGGACATTGTTGCGCGCAAATTGGCCGCTGCATTTGCCTACAAATACGCAGTCACTTTATACACCTCACGGTAAAATCCCGTGAAGCGGGATAATGCCATGTGATAAGGCGCTAAACCGAATGCAAGGATTACCATGATAAAAATAAAAATTTGGTTTGAGACTTACTCCCGATGTGAAAAGCGCTTTATAAATGGAAATTGTATTGCTTTACTGCATATAACTTGAGCGCTACAACTCCTGAGGTGGCTGACCTTACCTGGGAAAAGAAAGTAGAGCACTTTTACATTCCACCTCTTTGCCTCACTTTAATAACCTCATAACTCCAACTGCCTGATAGGAAACTGAGGTGGAAGGAAAAATGCTCACTTCTAATTCTTAACGCACTTTAAAAATCTAAGACGCAGGTTTCTATACAATAACATTTCCAAGTTGAAGTGGAAAGAAATATAATCCTTGAAGCTCACTTTACTTGCTCAGTTTCTGGGCATTTGTGACACATGTGCATTTTTGCTCCATTGGAGGGCGCTCAGACCACAGGATTCATACGGTACACACAGAAACAGAGATCACCGGGAACACTCGGTAGGTCAGGCAGCATCTATGGAGAAAGGAAAGTGCGTCAATGTTTCGGGTCCACGACCCTATGTCAGAACAATGCCGTACAAGGCCAGACGTGGGGTTCAGCTGAGGGCTGGATTTCAAGGAATAAATGAACATCTGATAAGATTACCGAGAGGGATGCTGCGGGCAGAAACACTGTGTGCTTCTTCCTGATCTTGTGTCAGCCTGGCTGGGTTGATAGCACTATCTACTCTGGATCAGAAAGTTTCTTTAAGCCCTATGTCGGGACTCAGAACTCATATATTCCAGGCTGACAACTGCAGTAAACTACTGATAATGCGACTCTGGCTTAAGTGGCCACTAGCACTCAAGTCCTCATGCCGCCAATCTCCCAACCACATTTATTTATGTATTCATACAAATGCCTGACTCACCACGCCAGATTACTCGTCACTGAGCCCTTTCCCCTTGAAGCTGCCGAATTACACAAAGTTTACTGTATTGAAGTATACAGCCTATCTTAAGAGTGGTGGTGGTGGTGGAAGGAACAACCCCTAGTTGCACAGATGGTAGGTGCATATCGAATCCACAAGAATGGATACTTTCTTGTTAGCTTTCCATAGTATCTGGTTAGGTCTAAATGTGCCTCACTGAAACATCCTTCATATTCATGCTTCCAACTGCAACCCAATGCAGATGTGCTTCCATCCAATATAAACCAATGCAGATGCTTTGCACCTGCTTATATCGCTTTGTGGTCTAGTTAGATGCACATACAGTTGAATTGCGTGTATTCCTGTTGTGCACGACTAAACACACTTGACATCAACTTCGAACCAAGGCTACGATTTCTTCCTATGTTTACACAACTCCAACCTTCAAAAGCATTGACACAAGGAACCAAACATAATAAACGGAATACAATCACCTTCTGAGCAAATCATGTTTTTGCCAAGAACAGCTGGAGAAGGTCCAACATCCCATAGTAATTACATCTCAACAACTCAAAGTCAGGGAGCAAATTTAATCTGTAAAGAATACTGTCTTATGTCGTGTAGCTATGAATGAAATTTGGACAAGCTGTCATACAACAATGTCTGAGAGCCTGAAATGTACCATGTCAAATAACCAAGTCAGATGAATGTCAAAGAAGATAAAACGTCAGTCAAATATCTTATAAAACAGATTGATTGCCTCCGCCTGTTCTATAAAGGGATTAACTCCCTCAGCAAAAGGTAAACTGGGATTCCGAGCAGCGAGAGTGCTATAGCAACAGGTGAGGAAGGTTTAAAATTCTGCACCTAATCTTTCTGCAGCGTCTGCTCTTGAACAAAACACAGAGGAAAAGAAACAAATCTTTTAAGTTAATTCTACGAAATTGAAGCAATGGACTTTAACAGACTAGTTCAGTGCGAATGAAATTTCCAACTTAGGATCCGTGGCTTAAGGAAAAATAAACCGATTCTGATACAGATGAAAACCTGTCTCGTAAATGGATTTCTCCTGGCTGGTTGGTTCTGTGAAGACGTAAACTGCCCTCTGCCTGACACAACTGTGATCCTGGGTGGAGTGGGGCAGAACACCAAGAACACAATTGGTCAGTCAATCCATGACTCTGTGTGGGATATTACTGGCTCCTTCTTGAAAATGTGATACCAAGAACTTGTATGGTGAGGATGGGGGGGTTGGGGTCACAGAGTCTGATGCTGGAGAGGGTGCAGTGCAGCTGCAGGACTCTATGATGTGGAGCTTGGTGGAGAGTGAAGCTGGGAACGTCATTGAGCAGAGCATTGGGAAAGTCAAGACTGGAGGTGTCAGAGTGTGGGTGAGGGTTGGGGCGTTGTGGGGGGGCAGTGCAGAAGTGGCGGAGATGGAAGATTCACGTACATTTCAGCATCTATGAGTATGGCTGTTCTCGTCGATGGAATCATGTCTTCCCAACTGCATTCTATGCCTATGGCTTACAGGAAAGGCACATGTTATTGGGCAAGGTCAACAGACCATTTTTCCTTCTTCCATGAAGGAGAACAAGCAGTGACAACTGAACTTTTGAGAGAGTGAAACACAATCGACAAGTACATGTAAGATATTACAAACACCTTCTTAATATTTACGAATACTTTATTAACAGAACAACCAATGCTGCCTATGTTACATCCATTAGTTTTTGTGGCTCAGTGGAGATGGAAGAGCAAGTTGTAGAGCTTGGTGGAAAGTGAAGCTGGAAAGGTTAGTGACCAGGGCATTGGGAAAGTGAAGACTGGAGGTCAACTCAGTCCAAATAATGGAAGCTCACTTGTCTAAGTCACTTCACCATGTGAAGATCCTGACATGTGAAAATTGGATCCTTTTACAGACACATATTGTTACTGTCTTAAGGAGTATAACAGACAAAGAGGGGCTGAATTTGCTGTAAAATATAAGTTGAGATTCAGGTTTCTTAAAAACAACAGTGAAACCCAGCTTGAAAAGTAAGACCAAAATTAAGAATTTTTCAAAAATTCTTCCCGATCTTAAATTTTAAGACAAATATCCATCATGATAATAATAACTGATACAGTGCCTTTCACGTCAATGGGATGTCTCAAAGTGCTTCATGGGTTATACTGTGTAGTGGAGTGACTGCATTTTTTTGAGTGGGCGAACACAGTAGTCAATTTACTCATAGCGATGTCTCATAAACAGCCACTGAGAATTTCAAGTCTCTGGTGTGCTCGTCAAGTAAAACAGGTAGCTGAACCTGCTTAACATTTGATACAGGTCCACATGTAACACAAACCATAAAGACACAGCAGAATTCAGAGAAAGAAATACAACATTCACTTACTTTGTACATGGAAATAACACAGACATTATTCTCTAAAACATTAAAAACAAATGTTGATTTGGAAGTGAGCATGAACTGGAGGAACAGCTTCCCTTTAAACCAAATCCAATCGGAAGCCTTTCTCTGTCAGTCTCACAGTCTGTGGTGAACAAGGTGCTTTGTGTGTGGTATTAAACCACATAATCTGATTTACCGGTCTGTGCTTGCTCCCCTTCTTGTGCAACAGATGAATCACCCAGTCTGTTTGTAAGCAAAGAAGATATAGGATTAACGTGCAGCAGTTCAATAAAAGGTTTGAAGCAGGATTAGAAACTTGCATCAGATTATGAATTTCAGTGCTCTGATATGTTATCCCACATTTAGGGCATAATATAAATGTGAGTCATTGTTGTTGGTGAATGAAATTACTTTGCACCAATGAGAATTTAAGCACATCACCGGAAACTTCAGTGTAACTTCAGTGACATGAAAAATTGCCCGAGGGAAAGGTTTAATTAAATGGCTCCTAGGATGTCAATGGGAGAGGATAAGTAGGAAGAGGGGGTGGGGAGGAGAGGTGGTTAGTTTGTTAATTATTCAACACTCATCACAATATATATATATATATAAAAACACGAATGTGCACTAGGTTTTTCTTCCCTCTGAAAAACCCCTGAAGTCCCAAAAGAGGAAGCAAAGGATTCATCGGATTTCCAATCCAGGAGGGGTTAAAACTAAAGGGGATAGGAAAGCTTCAAAGGGTCAGATGGACATTTCGAGCAATCCATCCTTCAATATTCACCACAGCAACACAAAGAACACAGATGGACACACACACGTATATAAAATATATGTCCTTTCTGGAGGAGTTGATGGCCCGTATTCACTTACACCCTTTTTCTTTCCCCCCTCTCTGCCGGAAAAGTTCCTAAAGTACCAATTATAATCGCCAGCCAGCGTGTGTTTCTGTGTGAAGGATTCACTGCTGTCGCGACAATGAGTTCCCGTTCCAGGGAGGAAGAGACACGTTCCTGAGCCAAACAAGGATTGGCCAAGGTTTCGTCTTCATTTGGTGGGCCTGATCTTCATTTCAACGAACTTAAGCGAGTACTGCCAGCCAGTCCAAGAGGACCACTCGATCCCATTGGCGTACGAGGTGTGGTGGCCTCGCAGGTACTGGCCGTTGAGGTTGGAGGTGTGGCAGTTACGATACCACCAGGCGCCGTGGTAGAACGTGGCACAGTTGTTCTCCGAGTGATCATTGTCCCTGTCCTTGGTGGTGAATTTCATCCCGTTGTGCTTCAGAAGAGAATCCCCTGCGGAAACAAATGAGGGGATGCTCACTGCTTCCGATCATCTACAACAACAACAGATTACACTTGTACAGCGCCTTTCGTGTCAGGAGGGCCAGACTGCCAATAGTGGGGTGGGGTGGGCTGGACAGGGCGGGGGACGTTTCGCTGAGCGAAAAGCCGCTTTGCCACACGCAAGGATTATTATGAAGTGTGGAGTGTAATAACAGGATTTCCTTGAATCTCACAAGATAAGTGGAGAATCAACATAAATATAACTATTCAGAGCACGTCTGAGCGATATTACTGCATTGCTAAAACATATGTGTAATTTGCAAAGTAGTTCTGCATTAACACCTTTGGAGAATGTGTCTGTAGGAAGCAAACACCTTTGCATTAATGATTCTCACCTGCACTAAAGTGCTACTAGATTTATTTCACACTTCTCATCATCATTGTTTCGCCATCCCTGCTGGTTGGAGATGACCTCCACTCGATACGGTATTATTTGACTGCACCCATAACATAACAGACTTCCAACAAAAGCAACTGCAGCTGGGTTAATTGACGGTTCAGAATTGATAATAATCCTTGCATTTGATATAGCGTCTTATCACATCTTTGAGATGTCTCAAAGCGCTTCAAATATATGTTGAAGTGAATTGACTCTATATTGTGCGGGCAAAACACAGCAGCCAATTGCACACGGCAGTGTCCCACAAACAGTTGTGGATTGAATGACCAAATTTTGTTTTGAAGGGATTATTACCACAGGAAAACGATCCACCAATCGATTAACAGGCGAGTTCCTACTTACTGCAAGGTAAACAGAGGCGTGTGGAGTAAGGAAACTTGCATAAGATTTTGCCCCACCCGGGAATCAAACCCGTGTCCTCTCACTTTCGAGTCGAGTGCTCTAACCATTACACTGTAACAGGCTTCCAACTAAAACATCTGAAGCTGCATTGATTTCAGAATTACCTATCGTCAAAACGGTGGGTCAAGAATGTGCCACATTGCTACTTGGGATACAAACAGGAAAATCTCCCCTCAGAACAGTGATTTTTGCCCAAGATTTTCTGTAGCTGATTATGATTTTGAGCACCACTGCTCAAGATCGATTTTGATTTAATCAAAGCAGTCTCTTCATTTTATTCCTCCTCCACAAACATTTCCTTTAACTGGGATTAAGACGTCAAGATCTATTATGCTTTGATTGGTTGTGAGTTGCATAATTAAGGGCAGCCCCTCTGGACACATGCAATTAAACTGCCTCTGCCTTTAGTTGTATTGTTGATGTGGGAAATAACCTGTGAAAATATTGTGGTTATTTTGTGGAATTGGTATTCTTTGTGATGGGACTCCCTTTCTTGCCACCTGAGTCTGTCTGTTCAGCTTCAAATACAGTCACTTCTGTGAAGCACTTTGAAACATTTCAACATCAAAGGCGCTATATCAAATGCAAGGTTTATTATTATTATAATACTCCATGCGAAAATGACATGCAAGCAAAGCTGTATTATACGTGGGGTGTAACGGATGAGACATTAAACCGAGGGCACGTCTGCCTGTTCAGGTGAACGTTAAAGAACCCAAGGTTCTCGAAAAGAGACAGGGAATTTCTCTCTCCCCCAGCGTCCTGGCCAACAATCCCCCAAATAAATTCGGTCATTCGCTTCAAGGCTGTTTGTAGGACATTGCTGTACTCAAGTTAGCTGCAGCAATAAATCCTGCAAAGTGCTTTGAGAGGTCTCTCCGATGTGAAGGGCACTTTTTCAAATGCAAGATTTATTATTATTATTTTGCAATGCAAAATAGATCTAGATAGTTTTCTGACCTTTGTACATATAAATTATAGTTTATCTGGCTTACTGTTTATTTTTCTTCTCCGAAAATATAATGCACATTTCTCCCTCAGAGCGCACTCAACTCAATCGGATCAAAACTTTTTCCCTTTGGCCAAGGCTAGGTTTGCCTAATGGATCAGATTGAGGGAACAGTGCATATTAAATCCATTCGCCTTTTTACTCACATCGCAGTTCAAGAGATGGCATTAAAGTAAATCCCTGAACTCAGGATGTGCTACACAAAGTGCATTTCTGTGAATATTGCAGAATTAGTTGTTTTCCAGGTTCATTCCTATGGGTTTTGGTAAATATAATTTCAGATTTTTTTTTCAGCTTTGTCCGCGAGCTGGATAACAACTGATCAAAGCGCTTCACGGGATTTATTACAGCAGCCAATTTGCACACAGCAATGTCTCACAAACAGCCATGAAATGAATGACCAATTTTATTTGGGGATTGTTGACCAGGTATCCTCTTCCCTGTACATATACAGTCAATTCACTTTACAGTATATTCTGTGATCACTAATCCAGACCTTTTATCCTCAACAGGGCTTCGATTGTAATAATAATAATAATAATCATTACATTTGATATAGCGCCTTATCACATCGCCAAGACATCTCAAAGTGCTTTGCGGAATATACTGTAGCGTGAATTGAATCTATATTTGGTGGGTGAAACACGGCAGCCAACTGCAACATTTATACGGGACATTTCATATTCATATGGATATAGAAAAGCAAAGCTTCAAAGTGTTGAGAGAGCATGACCCGACAGAGGTGCACGGCCGTTTAGTTCAAAATGCGCTTCTCATTACTCTAAGATCAAAAAGCCATTGAAACCTGCAGTTCCAGAGTAGTCTGTGACAGTCAACGGATAGCCATCGAGTTCAGGGTCTACAGAGAACAGCCCCACTCCGAATATTCCATAGTGAGCATAGGATGTGTCATTCTCAAAATCCTCCATGTCTATGCGCAGCTCGTAGTTTGACTGGATGGTTAGAGCGTGGATTCTCTTCAAACCTAAAGGGAAATAAAACTTTCACTTATTCTTTTGTTCCCCCGAAAACAATTCGCACGCAAGTCATCAAAATGGGTCATCGTGAAAGATTGATGAATCACACTTACACTGGGCACGAAATGCGTTCCTAAAACTGGATCAATGAAACCTCACGAATTATTTTTAATACAGTAAAAATAATTTCATCAGGAAGTGCTCAGAGACAGCCCACTATGGCCTGCACTGTGGAAAGACTGACGTTTGGCGAATCAGGGATGTTTCGAGAATTCCTCGGGCAAAATCGGTGACATTGTCATGTGGAACCTTTACACTATGTAAGTGCAACAATTAAAAATGTCCGTCACCTAAAACTCGAATGCAATGCCACGCTCACCAGTAAGTAGTTATCACATGCAGTAATTTATATACTGAATAACATAAATAAAAATAACCAACTAATACATTTCTATCATTTATAAAATATTTTGGGTTTCAGTGCTGAATACTGAATACTGTGTGGTTACGAATACTCAATGACTATGAATAATCCACATCATTTATACATGCTATTACTTGATGCTCTGTCCCACTACATCAGTTCCACAAGACCGATCTTGTCTGCTTCTAGTTATAATGAAAATCCAACAGGAAAGATGGAGAGGTAATTCTTTTCTCATGTTAGATCCCAATAAGAAGTAAAGAGTAAGAAGGGCACAGATATTATTATAACAATAACAATCCTTGCATTTGATACAGCGCCTTATCGAGATGTCTCAAAGCGCTTCACAGGATATACTGTACTGTAAAATGAATTCACTGTATTATTTTGTGGGCAAAACGGCGTGGATTGAGTGACCAAATTATTATTATTACTATGAATCAAATATGAATGAGTGCGTAAAAGGATGGAATGAGAAAAGGACACCAATCTTCCACATTGTGACTTTCACCCTCCACTCTATTTCTTTCATTGCAACAGCCTGAAACCCAGAGTCAATCGGCCAAGTTCAGATCTGACTTCAGAATGGATCTCTCACCTCCTTGAAATGTTTCACCTACGAAAAAATACACAGCCACTGCACTTTACAACGAATCCTGTGAAGTGCTTTGAGACGTCATCGAGATGCCTCAAAGATCTTCACGGGATATATTGTAAGTGTAGGGACTGTGTATTTCGTGAGCGAAAAATAAATATTATTATTATAATTATGCAAAGAGCGTGTCCAAGGCAATTGAATTATTTTGGACGTGCAGAAAATTACAGCTTCAGGTTTTACATAACCAACAGTGACGGGCTTGTCAGATGAATATTTATTTGAAATGAAAGAAGGACAAAGTCCTCAGTCCCCAGCTCAATTACATTACAGTGAAGTTGGCCTCTGGTACCTTGTCGCCCGGGGACCATCTTTTGCGTGTGAGTACGGGAATTGAGTGTTGACAGGTGTACACAAGTACGCAACGAGAGAAGCATTGCAGCCGAGACCGACCCTGTCCTTATCCTACAACCACAGCAAGTACAGTCTCCAGGAGCAGTGTCAAGGAATGGGAGTCCTGGCTCATAGAGTCCCTCGGTACCTTCCCCAGGCTCGAGATGCTGTGGACAATTACATACATGGACACAAAGATGGCAACAACAAAAAAAAAAGGCCCCAAAACATTTGCTACTAGATAAACCAACCCCACCCCACCTCACCACGTCCCCAGCTATTTTTGAGCCAGGTCCGTTTTCCTTGAAGCTCAAGCAGGCCAGTTGATTTTATGTTTTATAACTAAAAATAATAATCCTTGCATTTGTCGAGACGTCTCATATAGAGCTTCACAGAACATATCGTAAAGTAGATTGGCTGTGCATTTTGTGGGCGAAAAAGGGCATTCCAACAATCTATCTCTAGAATTTCCACGCGTAGGTGGGATGCATGGAAATCTCAGCTTGGCTTGGTTCCTCTTAAGCATGGTGTTGGGCACCCAGCTGATTCCTCCAGGCCCCCAAAGAAATCCCGTGGAAACACTTCTAGCATTGTCCGCTGTGAAGCAGTGGTGCGCGATTTATCGATTCAGAGAGGTTTGAACAATTTTTTTTTAAATGATTCTTTCACCTGGATGTAATATTCAATTAAAGAAAGTGGATTGAGCTAAAACTCCCCTGAGTGAGCTAGCGATTGCCAGCCATGACATGCAACATCAATTATCTATGTTTGATATGGCAGGATATTGCACTCGGAATCAATTTAAAGCAAAATCAACTGAGTAAATGTATCTGTGGGTTGACAGACATCATACCCAATGGACCAAAAAACACGTGGTGTTTAAATAGCAAGAGCAGCTTTGGTTAGCTGGATCCCTGCATTGCAGAAGCAAAACAGGTCAAAGGAAACATCTGAAGACACATTGTAAATCAAAATTCCTCTCGGAAAAAGGTGAAAGTTACTTGGAAATATAAGCATGTGGGATTCGATTTTTGTCTTGGCAAGAAGGTAGACAAAGACAAAATATTTTCATCTGATAAGAACGGTCTGATTGTCAAAGAGGAGGAGCAGAGTGATAAACAACAATACTAATAATCCTTGCATTTGGTACAGCCCCTTCCAAAGTGCCTCACGGGAATTACTGTGAAGTTAGAGTGACTGTGTATTTGTAATCTATGATTCTATGGTAGGAAGGAGTGAAACCTTGTATTTTTGCAGGAGGCAGGTATTTTGCTCTTGTTTTCTCAGAAGCAGAATAGAACAGAAAGGAACTGTACAAAAGGAGTCAGAAATGATCTCACACATACCAAGCCAATGTTCTCCTGTAATCTTCCCAAAACCATCGTTATAGGCATCCCATCCACGGAAAAAATTCACGGATCCATCTTTCCGCCGTTGGAATACCTGCAAATGCAAAAGGAGGGAGCTTTCATGCGGAAAACAGCAAGAGGACCGAGGTTTGGAGTTGCAAAAGGAAGATATCAAGGAAGTTTTTCTTTACCCAGAGGGTAAATAACAACAACAACTGGCATTTACATTGTGCCCTTCAATTGGGGTGGGGGTAGCCAGGACACTGGATTTATTTAAAAGGACCCTTGATGCTGTGATGAGGAAGGGAAGGGTGGTGTTCTGGAAGGACGAGATCAGATGGGCTGAGAGGTCTTCTTGATCTGCACTAATCTTGTGATCTGGTGAGAATGAGTAATGACTGATCGACGAGCACTTGGATCCCAACACAATGGGTGCCCAAAGCTGTCACCAACCCATTCGCTGTTTGAGCTATCAATCTCACTGTATCAATCTCGGATTTGGCTTCTTTTTGGTCAGCACACCAGTGGGACAGCATTGAGGGGAGGGGGGGAACAAGAAAGAAGGAAGTTGCCCAACTCCAACAAGTCACCTTGTTTGTACACAAAGGTGCACGGATAGAAATCGCTGGAACAGCTATTGCTGCCCTGATAACATAGGATTATCGCACTAATGCTGATAATCTAATCTAAGATTATGTAAATGAATTATTAATACTGAGAACAAATATATCTTCCTGCATTGATAATACTGATAATAATGCTGCATTGAATTACATATCACAGCATTACACAAAGCTGCGGCAACGCGGATTTCATTAATAGAACTATCTTACCTCTACCCTGCTTTTACTCTGGTCTTTGCTGAATGTATACTTCCTTTAATTTGACTGTTTATGGATTAACTTCCAACTTGTCTGTGTTGCGCAGATAAAACTCAAAGGCACCGGGAAACGGAAAAGGTGACAAGGGTTACACTCACAAACGCCAAACCATCCGAGCGAGGCTGCGGTGTAATTAATCACTGATTTAAGTTCAATTAGTGATACTGCTTCTTTGGAAGGTTTTGAGCTCTGAGCGTTTCCATTGATTTGACCGTGCAACAGTCATCAGTGTGTAAACATAAGGGACGTTAAAGCACTAGTAATGAGAGTTTCTCTGCTCACATGTTTACTCACTGATTTAGAAACAGTTATCCTTCTCATTGCCAGGACCGCTTACTTTCTGAAATAAGCCCTTTAAAAGCCTGCTGTTATTCCAGGCTAAAACGACATGGCTGAAGTCAAAAAACACAAGGAGATCAAGAAGGATTTACAAAGCCACTTTGATTGGCTGGCTGAGCGAAGCAGATAAACTCCTTTAAGTTACAAACGTAGGGATTCTTTTTAAGCCATCACCAAGCATACAGAAGGTGACACGAAATTGGTTCTGAATGACATTAAGTCAGTATGGAAGTAAAGCTCTGGGAAAGGATATGCGGGACAAGCAGCAAGTGGGTCAGACACCTTTACCTCTCAGGCAAACCCCTAGGCTTGGCCTAAAGCCTAGTTAAACGCTCCGAGATGTTACCCTGAACGTGAAGGGCGTTATATATAAATATGAGTTGTTTTTGTTGTTGTTAAAGTTGGAAATGAAACCCAAATGAATACCCCACACGGCTTCTAGAAACAGTGCAATTTCTAATATCGAACCCGGAGGATACAAACATCCACAGAACTGCTTTGTAACCTGCAAAACACAAAAGCAATTTCAGGACAGACCCAGGAATTATTTCTTTACGACAATAGCAACTTGCTTTTATATAGCACTCTTTGAGTGTACGTGGGAAGGTGGGGGGGGGGGTACTAATTAATCACGCGAACGTGTTACCAGTGAGGACGGTTGAAGCCAGGATGCTCATCTCATTTAAGGAATAGCCTGATACTATTTTCGGGGAAGGTAGGTTGGGTGTTTTGTAAGCATAAAACTCTCTTATGATCTTATGGGCTTTTTATCTATTTTCACAATCTAACCCCAGCTCCCAGAATAATATCGCAAACCTACAAAGAGCAAACACACAGAACACAAAGATATTGCTCAATTACTTCTTTCGAAACTGTACAAATGTTGCAGTTTGCAACCTACCTTTCAACTGCGTCCTGCATTTAAAAGAAACGTCTCGAAAAGCACTTTATGGAATGCGATCGATTGGAAATTACTCGAACGCTTTTGCGTGGGCAAAAACATTCGGTAATGGTAGAAGCAACTGGTAGCAGATCAATATGTTCGATACAGCACAATTTACATTGACGCTTCATTTTACATTGGGAGGATGTCTCAAAGCACTTGTGGCAGATTGTTGGGCCTTTCATACACAGCCAAAAAAAATCTCACCCTCCCCACCCTAAAACAAAATGTGTAGGTGGGATTGGACCACAACGGTAATGACAGGGAATCACTAGTTATAATAAAATAATAATACTTGCATTTGATAGAGCACATTATCACATCTTCAAGACATCCCAAAGTTCTTTACAGTATGTACTGTAAAGTGAATCGACTGTATATTTTGTGGGTGAAATCACCCACAAGTTACCATCTGACTTGAGCACAGAGGCGAGATGAATGCAAAGTAATTTCCAAGTAAAGATGGACTGTAAGTAGCATTGGCTGAAGAGACAGCAGAGGACAAAGTTTGGAGAGCACATCCCTTGAGGGCAACAAATGTTACTTTGCAGTAAACCGCTTTACACGTTAACTATTTCCCCTGAGGAAAACAACCCATTCCCTGTCACTGTCAACCCACAGTTTATCGCTGTACCTTTGACTAATAAAACAGGAGCGATATGAATATGGATCTGAAAGCAGAATTTTAATTGTTCCTCATTGTGTCACCCAGCCACTGCCGTGTGTGAAAGTTTGGCGTTGATCACAAAGGATGGAAACATCTGAACTACAATAAAGATCTAAAGCCCTTCTTTGCAATGCGGAAAAATGCACAAAGATCCACAGGGGTTTGAGAGACTCCTGGAAAGAGAGATGCTTCTCAGAACATCTCACGATTCATCAAAACCTCATTATACAAAACCTGATAAGTCGAACATAATGCCACTTCTCTTTGAAGCAGAGGACCATATGGTCATGCAGGATTTTATATGCAAAGCCAAGTCAAATCAACTCGTAACTCAAAACGTCATTAACATTTCGTTTCCATAAACATCTAAGGTGAGGAATGAAGGAGGAGGTCTCGAAATGCTTCTCAGGATTTACTGTAAAGTGTAGTGACTGTGTATTTTGAGGTACTTAGTGTAATGCTATGTGCTCTGAAATGCTGAAAAGCAGAGTAAATCTTAGATGAAATCTCAGGTGAAATTTCTCCCTCCTTCACCCACCCCCACACACGCTCCCCACCAAGAGGGAAAAGTTCTAAAAAAAATACAACCTCAGCAGGAATGTTTTTNCTTGTTGTTCGTCTTCCACCTTTAGATATTGTAGGGTTTTTGCCCAGAGAATGAAGTATTCAGCAGAGCTGGATTGTATCGATTTTGTGTTGTCCTAATATCATTCACATCATAGCACTCATTCCCTCCACTTATCAATTATAAAGAGCTAGGGGTTTGCTTTCAGTCAACATTGACTACTTCTTCTGTTCTTGTGGGAAATATTTTTCCGATGGAAATGCAATTTGCTGCCGAGAGACAGATAGGAAGGAAATTGACTTCTGTGTTACAGTGAAGGCTTGAGTGAATTTATAATCATGATGAGGTTTGAAGAATTTCTGTACGAATCAATTTATTCCTTATTGTCTCTTGTTTTATGTGCTTCAATTATAATCCCTTCCCACCCAATGCGTTGCTGATATAGTTTACCCATTTCTCAGTAAATATAATGACTTCAGCACTGCCCATGTTATTGCAACTCACCAGTGTCTCTTTTGTTTTTAAACTGTATTTCAAAACAACGCTGCTTAATTTCTGGATTGCTTTTCCCTCTTTGATCGTTTTCTACCTTTATGTGGCCCTCTATTGCTTGTGTAATTAATTGCCCGACTCAAAGCCTCTCAGTGCATCTCTGTGATGGAGATGACTTGAGGAATAACAAACATTGCAATCCCCTGTGCCATTTGACCAACAGGTGATGCAACTCAACCCAGTAATTAATTGCAGGCGGATTGGGAGTGACTGGGTCCCAATAAATGGTCATCAGTTGTGAAACCAGTGCCGTATGTGTTAAGATTACTTTACAATTTTTAACAGAACGATGTACATTTCGACAGCAGCAATTTTACATTTATTTTGTGCCTTTCATGTCTGGAGGACACCTCAAGGGGTTTATATAATAATAAATAATAAATAATCCTTGCGTTTGATACAGCGCCTTATCACGTCATTGAGACATCTCAAAGCGCTTCACACCGCAAAGATATACTGTAAAGCAGACTGTGTATTTTTGTGGGCGAAACGTGGCACCCATTTGTAACAGATACCCGCTATCGTTACAAATACACAGATAGGAGACAGCCTTAAAATGGTTGGTTGTTGCTTTGCGAGGCAACAGCAAAGAAGGCAAACGAGATGCTGGGATATATTTCCATTAGCAGTTGAGTTCAGGTCTCCAGACTGAAGCTGGAGAGTGCTCTGGTTAGGCTGCACCTGAGATACTTATTACGTGACCATAAGGGGGTTCCCTGGGCCTTAGGAACAGAGCAGAAAGGCTGACCTCAGTGTGAAAGCAAATGTATCAGACAGGACCTTGGTGAGGTATATACAGTATATCCTGATAAGGCGCTTTATCAAATGCAAGGATTATTATTGTATATTTTAAACAGGATTGAGAAAGTAACCTCAGAACAATATTTTTGGAGGAATCAGACAGCAGAACAAGGCGGTTTAGGGTTTCAAAGGGCAATCTTACAACAACAACTTGCATTTATATAGCTCCCTTCACACGGGGTAGCATCTCGGAGAGCTTAGAGCAGACAATAAATTTTAGAGCAGACACCAAGAAGTATTTCTTTACCCAGAGATAATTAATGATTGGAGTAGGTTACCAGGAAGGATGGTTGAGGGCAGGATGCTGGACTCATTTAAAAAGCAAACTGATGCAGTAAAGGGAGGCTGGTTATTCTGGAAGCATAAGATTAAAAGGGCATTCTGCATCCGAATCTCTCTTGTGAACGATCTTATCATCGTTCGTGTGAAATCAAAAAGCTGAAAGGAAACACACAACAAATCCCTCGACCTTCACCAAGGTCACTTAAATGTGTCAGAGAGAAACCCTGAATGTTCACCCCCCCCAAAACATTCAGTCACTTTACATTGCACCATTTTATAATAATAATAATAATCCTTGCATTTGATATAGCGCTTTTCACGTCGGGAGGACGTCCCAAAGCGCTTCACAGAACACACTGTAAAGTGAATTAACTGTATATTTGTGGGCGAACGCGGCAGCCAATTGCGCACAGCAATGTCCCACAAACAGTCGTAGATTGAAAATGACCAATTTTTATTATTGTTTTGGTTTTTGGAGGGATTATTATTATATATTATATAATATTATATATTATATATATTATATATCCTGAGAAGTGCTTTGGAATGTCCTCCTGACGTCTTTTTTAAAAAAAAACACAGCATATTTCAGAAATTGTTTGGCTTTTGGACGAGGATTTGGGTTGCTGCTTGAATTAGCCATTTTTGAACATTAGTTTTTGAAAGCACTTAAACCCCACCCCAAGTCCCTAAGTTGATCTGTCACAGAATATCAAACTCCGTGTGTAACAAGTTGTGTCACTAGACATTCTTCACAAAATCTGGATGAAAGCATTATTATCCACAGGAGAGCCTCTCTCAGATATTACTTGGCACATTGTTCATCCACTAACCTACGTTAGAATGTCCCTGTGAAACCTAACGCTTTGCTCTATTGAAGGAAGCTTTGCTGATTCTTTTTTTACGTTGCGAAGTGTGAGAGATGATCTGATTTGTTATCCCTAAATGCAGAGCTCTTTAAGGAATTATTTTATTTTTGTGGGTGTTTCTACTTACTGCTGGGTAAACAGAGGGGTACAGAGTAAGAAAACTTGCCTAAGGTTTCTCCCTGCCAGGAATCAAACCCGGGTCCTCTCGCTCGCTTGCGAGGCGAGCGTGCTGACCACTACGCTGCAGGAATCCAGGATAGAGGATAGGGCAATGTTATTTCACTCGGTCACTCCCGCACAATGTGCTATCTCTTTGAAGGTGAGGCTTTTTAATCAGGGATTCAATCGGCAAAAGCCCCTCGGTCCCAAATCATGGGCATCTGTCACTGTTTGCATGGTAGCAGGTTCTGAGTATTTACACAGTGGGAATCTTAAAAGACAGACGATCTCCCCGTAAGCCAGATGGATTAAAACTATAAACAACACATCCCTAAGCGCTGGGCCTGCCTTCAAAGTCTGGGCATTCAGATGATGTCTGTCTCGTGTGTTTTTTTTCAAAAATGCTCATTTCACCAAATCCCAGAAGGGGAACTCTGAAAAAAAACATGGAACGATTCAAACAAATTCAGCGCCTCTGAGTTTGAATTCTAAACTGGATTTAAAAGTGCTTTTGTATCGATTAGGCACGGAGGTGGTTTAGCCTTGCGTAATAAGACAACTACTACTAATAATAATTCTTGCATGTGATTCGACACCTTATCAGGTTGTCGAGATGTCTAAACATGCTTCACAGGATTGTTTCTTGAAATGTAATGACTGTATTTGTGGGTGAACATGGCAGCCAATTTGCGCACAGCAAAGCCCCACAAGTAACAACAACAGCAAATTATATTTGTATAATGTCTTTCACATCGGGAGGACGTCCCAAGGTGCGGGACAATCAGGGATTTGTACCCAACCTGGGGTTGAGATTAGGAGGGGTGGAGGGCAAAGAGTAGGAGGCGTAGTCAAAGAGGAGAGTCTTGAGACAGGCCTTGAAGGAGGAAGGGATGGAGCAAGATGAAGGGTGGGGGCGGAAAGGTGGAAGGCTTAACCGCTGATGGTGGGGTCAGCCGGGTGGGGGACATGGAGCAAGTCGGAAACAGCCACGAAATGAGTGACCAATTTCATTTGGGGAATTGCTGGCCAGGACACCAGGAGAAACTCCCTTCTCTTTTCAAATAGTGCTGTAGGACCTGTAATATCCAGGTGAACAGGTACAGTGTGCAAACAGTATAAACGTCCCAATGCACCTTAAACCGATCAAGAGGTGCAAGTCCCTTAAGAAGGGCTTGGAATAGAAGTTTTGTGAATCTCAGCAGTCTATCAGAGTTGCTTGCACTGTCAATCAATTCAAGGAAAAGTCTTTTGCACGTGGGCAAAGATACAAGCATCCGGCCGCAGTTCACACTAATGCCTTGTCTTCAACCTACAAATCTCTGCCTGCTGCTAGCAAGCATGCCCTGAAGTTACACCACAACATTTGCAAGTGTCAAGTGAGACGTCAATGAAGGTTTCTGCACAACGCTGTGTGTCAGAGTGCGGGGCCTTCTGTGATTTGAGCAGATGTTAAAGACTTCGCAACCTTCCTGCATGTAACCCAAAAAACTGCAGCAAAGGCCAATGAGTGAGTGTCACATCTTTAGGGGGAGATCAAAGGGTCAAAACAGGCCTCGAGTTAAGAGTGGATTATTTTATGCCCTGCCCAATACAGTGAAATTGGATAAATCATGCTTTTCTTACCCAGTGGGAAAACCTAGAGTGCATATATTATTGACTCCATTACTCCGTCAAACCGTATTCCCATCACCTATCCACTGATCCATCTAGTGATATCCGACACAACTTTGCGAGGAAGCAGTGTCTGCCCTTTGCTGCCAGGGAATTTTATCCTCTTAAAATATTTGAACAGATAGCTGGCTCTATTCATCGTAACAAACAACAACCTGTGAAACCACTTGAACTGACCTTTTGTGGGAACATAGCTAGAAGCAGTACTTAAGTACTTAAGTATTTGCCGACGTAAAGAAGGAATGTCTAGTTCAAATGCTGGCTACCTTTGGAAGCGAGCCATTTTTTAAATTCAAGTTGAGATTGGGGAGGGTGGGTGACGCAAATTAAAATGAATACCATTTATAAAAATGCATCTTAACTTTCCTCGAGTAGCTCAGCGTTCAGCACTTACTGTCCAGCCTCCCCGATCAGAGCTCATATCGCAAAAGACCCGGAAGCCTTCGGGATAGTGGGTAGGAAAAATGGAATAGATTCCGTTCTCCTTCTGTCCATTGATGTAGATGTCATAACAGTCTCGAGGGCGAGATCCTGCAAGGCATTTACAAAGCAGAGAGAGGACACGGTAAGTTTGACGTTTGCAATGTAGAGCGGGGCAACTCCAAACGGTTTTACTTTGGTTGTTAAAGCCATTGAAAGCTTGGGCTTATTGAATAAATGGTAACATTTGTGTGGAGCCAAAAATAGTAAAGAGTGTAAGAACGCGGGCGAAAGTGGGTGACCGGTGACACATAGAGAACCTTAATGAATCGAGATTGCAGGGCTTAACGAAAGACTAGAAAATATCTGAGAATCATAGAATCTCACGGCACAGAAGAAGGCCATTTTTGTCCTTTGTGCCTGTGCCGGTTCTTTGGAAAAACTACCAAACTAGTCCCACTCCCCAGCTCTTACCCCATAGCCTTGCAAATCCTTTGCAAATATATATCTGATTCCCTTTTGGATTCCCTTATTGAATCCACATCCACCACCCTTTCAGGCAGTACATTCCAGATGCACATATCATCATTTTTTTGTTTGGTCCCAATATCTAGTTTAGCTTGGAGCGAAAGGCAGGAAACGGAACTCACCGGCCACCTACGCAAGGACAAAACTATATCTGGGCTGGGACTGGAATATTCCTGTGTCTGTTGCGATCTGGTTCGGCAAAGTCACCATAATTTAAGGGATGGAACAAACTTAAATATTAAATCCGCCATTCCATTTGATCAAAGCTCGTCTGTACACCCGTCTCCATTTACCCGCCTTGGCTCCGTATCGCTCGATACCCTGACGCAACAAAAAAAAGCTATGGACCCGAGTCTTGAAAATTTCAATTGAATAATTGAACGACGCACTGAGCGTCAAGACTGACCGTTCCAACAGCTCTTGGGTCTCAACTTGACGGGTCCTTTCACCAGGTCGGCTTTTAGACGGAACTTCATGGCTCCCTGTTCTTTCTGGAGAGTGTCCAGTGCATCGCTCACCGAGCCCACCACCTTCACCAAGTTGACCTGGCTCTCGGAGAGCAGCTGCAAGAAAGGAGTAAACATGGGAATGCGTAAAGCACTAAGGTCTCAGTAAGCCGGTGTGAAGGGCGCTATGTAAATGCAAGTTGTTGTTGTTAGCTTTTTGACTTTTTGTATAATAATAATAATCCTTGTGTTTGGTACAGTGCCTTTCAGGTCAGGAGGATGTCTCAAAGTCATATACTGTAAAGTATAGTGACTGTGTATTTGTAGGGGAACGCTGCAGCCCATCTGCGCACAGCAATGTCCCACAAACAGCAATGATCAATTTCATTTAGGGGATTGTCGGACTCCGGGTTAAACACTCTACTCTTTTTGAATTGTGTCATGGAATTCTTTCTGAAGTTCACCCAAACAGGCAGATGGGATCTGGATTTAACGTCTCATCCGAAGCACAGCACCTTTGATAATGCGGCACCTCCCCAGCTCTGTGCTGGAGTGGGTTACGTGAATTTAAATCTGAAGAAGAACAAGGCATAAATATTCAGCGGTGGAATGGGGCCCACATTTATGTGCAGAGTGTAGATATCTGAACCAAACAGAACTCTGTTATACGTCTCCATTCTAAGTCAAAAGGGGAGAATATTGGTTACATATTGGTTACAGCTGCAATTATTAAAGATATGTTCCTGGATCATCATTCAGCTCAGAGGGAAAGGTAAATAAACTGAAACCAATCTCCACTTTTGCACAGAACTTAATCCCATGCGGGGAAGGGTTTAAAAATTGAAGGTGATTACTGCACACTTATCATGGTTAAAGTGTGAGTTCCCTTTGCCCCTGAAGTGATTTTGTTAATAATTGACCTGGATAGTTCCTTTGCACTTAGCTCACACCTTGCCAGACTTTATTAATGTACGTGGGATAAAGGATATTTGAGCTGTTCATCTTGTGCAGTGCATATCTGTTTGAGAACATAATAACAACAATAATAATCCTTATATTTGGTATTGGGTCTTTCATATCAGAACATCTCAAAGCGCTTCACAGGATGTAGTGACTGTGTGTTTTGTTGGTGTACACGGCAGCCCATTTGCGCACAGCAAATTAAATATTGCATATAAATATATTAAATATCATATCATGTATATTATACAAAGTTAAATATTATATTCAACAAAATCTAATATTGTTACGATATTAGAAATGGTCACATTAAGTTGTTAACTGATTATTTCTTCCTTTGAAATATTTGACCAGGAATAATTAGGACAGAAAAAAAAAAAATTCCCATCTACATTCAACATATGCACGGAATAATTTGAAGCACATTTGATTAAAAATACAAAATACTAGTGAAGAATGAGTACCTGCATTGGTTGCAAAGCAGTAGAATCTCACCGAGGAAGAAATGTGTTGCAAATATTTTTGGGCACTCCAGGGCATCAATTAGCATTCATAATGTACAACCATGAACATCATCAGCTGTCTTTTTTTTTTATCTCTCTTTTCCCAGTCAAAACCCATCTCGAGCCAACAGATTAATTGCTAATTCACCTCACGGATCTTCGCTGGTGCAAAGATCGTGCCTGTTAGGTGCTCTGAGACACTCCCCTGCGTGGAGGGCGCCCTACAAGTGCAAGTCGTTGTTGTTACATTCGCCTGCAAATGCAGTCACTACACCTGACAGCAAGTATCCATCGAGCACTTAGAGATCTTTTGACTTGATAAGACTCTACAAAAATGCAAGTGCTTTCGTTCTGAATTCATACTAACTAAATGAAGCTGAAAATCCCATTGGCTTCAGATATGGTAAACTGAGCTCTCGCAATTATAAAAACCTTATTCCGTGTCTCTGCTCCCAGCTAATTGATGGGAGAATTCGGAAGCCTGAAATTTTTTCTGGACAATTATGTGCAGCAGAAACACCACCAGCAGTTCTTCAGAGAAAGCTCATGCTAATTAAGCAAAGCCCTTTGTAAAGATGGACAGTTTGGCGTAAGGATTAATCAGGTAAGGCTTGAGAGAAGACAACCCCACGGGCCAGGTCTCCAGCCTGCGCTGAAGCTCGCACAGACAATCACCAGATTTGGAGTCCTGTAGCTCAGTGGTTAGAGCACTCGCTTTGCAAGCGAGAGACCTGAGTTCATTTCCAGGCAGAGGGCGAAACCTTGGGCAAGTTTCCTTACTCCACACAGAGCCTAATAATAATCCCTCCAAAACCAAAAACAATAATAAATTGGTCATTTTCAATCTACGACTGTTTGTGGGACATTGCTGTGCGCACTTGGCTGCCGCGTTTGCCCTCAAGTATACAGTCAATTCACTTTACAGTATATTCTGTGAAGCGCTTTGGGACGTCCTCCCGACGTGAAAAGCGCTATATCAAATGCAAGGATTATTATTATTATTATTATTATTATCTATTGCACCCTGTTTTTTCACGACTCGGTCCACCACTGTTTGTGCCACACTGCGGTGTGCCATTGGCGGCTGCGTTTCGCCCACAAAATAGTCTGTGAAGCGCTTTGAGACGTCTCAACGACATAAGGCACTGTATCAAATGCAACGATTATTACAGTAAAACTCACATAGATAGAATTGTGCTCTTTTCGTACTCGCGTATATGTGAGCCTGTGTGGAGTGTGCGTGGGCAGGTGCTGAAAACCTAACTTATGCTGGCACAGAAACTCAAAACTAACAGAGGAACTCGAAGGGCACCTTTCATGCATGTTTGCACCACTTAATACCTAAATATGTATGTAATGCAACCAAAGGGAGCTCTGCTTCCAGTGAATCAATAGTAATGAAAGAGTGAGTGCATCTCATAGTGCACATCAATTTTCTTTTGATATTAAATAAGGTGTGGCTTAAAGTTTTCAATGCTCTGGTGCTCCGACTAACAAGCAAGGTAAAGTTACTCTGGAAAAATCACCTTCACGATAACATGCCAGCCTGGCTTTGGTAGTAATTATTATTTTAAAAAAATAAAGTATTTTGTGGGAGCCATATTAGAAGATGTGGATGTGAGGGTCAGTTGTGGCTGTAACATTCCATTGTATCTAGAGACTGGGCATAATTATAATAATAATAATCCTTGCATTTGATATAGCGCCTCGAGACGTCTCAAAGCGCTTCACAGAATGTATTGTCAAGTGAATTGACTGTATATTTTGTGGGCAGAACGCGGCAGCCAATTGCGCACAGCAACGTCCCATGAAAGTCATGGATTGAGTGACCAAATGATTATCATTTTTAATTGAACGCCCCCCCCCCCAGAAGGTGATCCGCCAATTGACTAACAACCAGGTTCCTCCTGACTGCTAGATAAACAAAGGCGTGTGGGGTGAGGAAACTTGCCGACCGGCTCACCCCGCCTGGGAATCGAACCCGGGTCCTCTCCGTTTGCTAAACGTTACGTTGTGGATTAAGGCAATACTGCAGTGTGACCTGACAAGCTTCGGTATGAACTTGAGGCTTGGCCTGAAGTTGTCTCAACTGGAGTCCCGTGCCTTGTAAACACCTTACCTGAATTAACCTGCCCTGCTCTGACTGCAGTGAACCCAGTTCCTCACTCAAGCTGCTGTGACCCTGTTTCAAGGCCTCGCAATCCTGCTTCAGTTGGGCGGTGTGAGCGGACAGCTTAGCGAGCTGATCAGTCAGGGTGACCAGCAGTGCTCTGTCTTCCCCGCTCAGCTGCTTCGCTTCCTCGTCGCGACCGGACACGGCGCTGAGCAGAGACGACTGGATGGCCTCCAGACGCACAAAATTACTGCCAAAGTCGGGGCAATTGGGCTCGAGGAAGATTTTGATCTCGGATCCGTCGGCTTTGTCGACGGTGACCAGGGCTTGGGAGCTTCCCTCGTTGGTGCTGATGAGCGGCGGGCTGTCTGTCGTGGGGCCGTGGTAGTAATGGTTCATGAAGAGGATTGTCCCTGTGACCGTGACAGCCACAAGCACTACCAGAAACAGCAGCACCATACACACCGTGTAGCCACAGCTCAGCTTCTGAAACAGGGAGAGAGAGAAAAAATCACAAGGTTAGACTTCTTATATTTACTGCAGTGATCAGAATGAGCTCTGCTGCTATTCTTAGGTAACTTGCGAAGAACTTTCTTACAGGGAAGCAGCCACAGTGCATCTGCTTTGTTATTCTGATGCTACAGAGGCTTGTATTTGGGATATAAAGCAGCATTAGCATTGCTCGAAGCTCCCTTCAAAGCCGCCACTGAAATGTTCCACTTGTCAGAAAAATTACCACTGATCAGAAGATCCCATTGTTCCACCGTCCTGAGATTTTTTGTTTGAGTTTGCTGTGTTTCGATCCAGCACTAGACCAGTCACTGGGAGCAGGGAATTATCCCACTCAACTCGTGTTAACCCAGCTAGCCCAAACCCGAATGGGTAGGGTGTCAAGCTTTCCTGCTGCTTGTTCAGCTAGGACCACCCTCCTTAGGGCTTTGGCTCGCAGGGTTAACGGGAGTTGAGTGGGGTGATTCCCTGCTCCCAGTGACTGGTCTAGAGCTGGATAGAAACACAGCAAATGCAACAAAAAAAAATCTCAGCTAGTTTGGTACAGTGGTATCCTCTGATCAGGGGTAATTTTTCTGACAAGTGGAATATTTTAGTGTTGGCATCGAGGGGAGCTTCCAGCGATGGTAAAAATGCTTCTCACTGAAGTGGGTTCACAAATGATTATTGCTGCTGAACTGAACATTAACTTGGCCAATTACTGGGGGGGATGAACCCAATTAATTTAAATAACTCTTCACATTCTGTCCTTGAAGAGGATGAAATCAGGCCTATGAATCACATTTGCACCTTGGTTTCACAGTGCAGACATACTTCATGCGGTGAAATTTATATCACCTTGTTAATGCCTGACAGAATTTATCAGACAAACAGGTACCTAAATCCATCACGACTTGAGGCTTTGTGGATCAATATTCCGGTTTGGCTGCTTGGATCAAAGCAAGCTTATCTGTGCTGTGAGTTTCACAAGCTACTTGCAAATAGTGAGGTGCGACAATTGCTACATAATTAGTTCTGAAAGCCGGCAAAGTCGGCTGGTAGCAGTCAGTTGGTAGCCCTCTCTCCTCCGAGTCAGAAGATTGTGGGTTCAAGCATCACGTCTGGTCTTGAAACACACACAGTCTATGCTGACACTGCAATGCAATGCTGGGAGTGTGCTGTAATACAACACAAAATTAAGTTTACACAGTGCCTTTCACATCGGGAGAACGTCCCAAGACGCTGGACAGTCAGGGATTTGGACCCGAGCTGGGGGTCGGGATCAGGGAGTCTAAAGTGCTGTACTTTTTTTTAAACACTCAGTGAATGATGGGTGCAGATCTATCATGTGATTTGAGATTTATTTTTTCTCAAATTGCGATGTACTCAGTGCAGCTTCAGAGGTTGAGTATGTCTCCCGTGTTAGAGGTTGGGAGCACTTAAACATGCTCTCCTCTCCCTCCGAACGCATAAAGAAATCCTGGGAATTTTGAGATGATGATAGGTTTTTGTTGGAGTGGTATCACTTCCCTTTGCTCATTCACTTTGTGGCTGTTTGTGGAACATTGCTGTGTTTAAATCAGCTCCCATGTTCACCCACAAATATGCAGTCATTAACTTGATAGTAAACCTGTGAAGCACTTAAAATGTCTTGAAGGCGTGATAAGGCGCCATATAAAATGCAGGGATTATTGTCTTGCAAAACCTCCTTTACAGGGACTCTGACACACAACGTGATTCATTTAATAAAATAGTCCCTTTAGTTACCGGATCACCACTGCCTCAAAGCGATTTAATAACCATCTCAAGATCACAATCCCTGATTGCTCTGATAATCTTTTGTAATAGCAGCGCTCTTCAAATTAGAATCCATGCTTCAGAATATCCAAATATAAAATACTGAGACCTGTGGGAATTTTGGTTTGTCTGTGCAGTCTCTCCACGGAGGTACGAACCCTAGTCCCGGACTTTATTAAGCGCAAGTTGACCGAGGGCCCCAAGAATGTGTGTTGGGGTAACTGTTAGAGTTAAACTGGCTAAAGCAATGCAGCTTGCCATTGCAAACACTGACTGGCAAGCTTCCCACTGCTTATCCAGCTAGGACCACCATACCCTCTGGGGATTTCGCTTGCAGAGTCGTAAAGCCCCTTTAAGTCCGGCTGACGAGTGCTGCAGACCTGCCTGGCTCAGGAACCAGACCACCGAGACCACAGAGGATCGACTTGATTGCAATATTCCATTGCCAGACACGTCAACTTGGAGTCAATTCATCCCTAAAAGAGACACTTTGCTCCTCTCTCCACCAAGGCCAATCATTAACTAATGTTTCAAGATCTCAACACGATATTCAGGCTGTTGTTCTTCAATTACGCTTGCCTTTGCCGTTTAACTGATGAATTGCTATATCAGTATTTGTTAAAATTATTGCTGAATTGCATCTGTTTCTATGCGTTTTTTCCTTTGCAGGCTTTCAGAGATGGGAAACAGCATTGATTGATTATGCCAACGGTAAGAAAACAGATTTGGAAGCTGAAAGGGAACTTAATGTTTTCATCGACAATCTGCGGGCGGATTTGAGTTGTTGAAAAAATAATCATTGTTGACTTATGAGAGAAATGGAGCTTAATGCAGTCAGTTTTCCAGCATCTACATGATTGTGCTCAGACCAGGGGATACAATCATCTGTGCTCTGATTGTGGTCTTGGAATTTTGTCTTACGCGTAGATTAACAACAACAACAACTTGTGTTTATGTTGCGCTCCTCACACAGCGACACGTCCCAGAGCGCTTGGTAGTGGTGGAGCATGACCCCGAGCCGGGGGGAGGTGACCGTAGGCGCAGTCGAAGAGGAAGGTCTTCAGGTGCGACATAAAGATGAGGAAGGAACGGACATGGCGGAAGGATTTGGGGAGAGCGTTTTAGAGCCAGGGTGGCTTTGAAAGCGTGGCCACTGATGGGGAAACGGAGGACACGAGGGACAAACAGGAGGCCGGAGTCAGTCGAGCGGAGGCAACGAGTAGTGGACTGGGAATTAAGCAGTCGGAGCATGACGTGATTTGAAGACGAGTGAATAATGGAGAGTCTGGGGGCACGGAAGAAGAGATGTGTATCCAGCCCTGGTAGTGTTAAGACTTGCTGTGCAGGATTGCTCCAGCTAACTAGTGCATGTAATAGCCCTGAACTGAGTAAAGTTCCAACACAGTCTATCTACACGCGACTGTTCAGTGGTCGGAGCACAGTTTGGCATTGCACGTAACTCATGCAAACCGGATGCACTTGAATAACTTGTTTCCAGTCAAACAAAAACGATTTTTAAAACAGATTTTGTTACTGTTTTGTAGCTTAATGATTAGAGCACTCGCCTCGCAAGCGAGAGGACATGGGTTTGATTCGTGGGCAAGGCGAAACCTTAGGCAAGTTTCCTTACTCCACACTCCTGTGTTTACCGAACAGTAAGTAGGAACCCGGTTGTTAGTCGATTAGCGGATCACTTTTCCGGGGGTAATAATCCCTGAAAAAAAATTTGGTCACTCAATCCACGACTGTTCGTGGGACACTGCTGTGGGCAATTGGCTGCCGCGTTTGGCCCACAAAATTTACAGTCCATTCACTTAACGGTATATTCCGTGAAGCGCTTTGAGACGTCTCAAAGTCGTGATCAGGCGCTATATCAAATGCAAGGATTATTATTAAAACCGACAGTAAAAATTAGCAGTCAAATTAGCCAAAGACACCCACGCAGCTCGCCACAGACACCGGTGTCAGACGTTTTTTCCATTTGTCAATGGAAATACGTAAAAGAAAAAAAACAAGACGTTGGAAGACTTCGACAAATGCACGATACGTTCAGCGGGAAATGTGGTGCATGAATCAATCCCAATCTCCAGGTACAGCCTTTTGAAATGCCATATGGTCTGCCTGACAGAGCCAGGTATCAATCAGGCTGGGAAAGCCACTCTTTTTGGAGTGTGGAGAAATGCACCAAGTTCAGTATCACTGAGGTAGGTACTGGCAGCAACTGAGAAGGCAAAAAGGAACAGCATCCTCTTGATTTGCCTCGGTTCTGAATTGCACAGCACAAAATCATACATTCCATACCTTTACCTGGTAAATTATGTCATTCACAGATTCCCAACACAGGGTAATAGTGTTCAGATACAAATTTGGTTGGGGAGTAATGAAGAAGAAGAAAAAAAAAGGCACCACAACTAGTTAGAAACTCAGTGATTTTCAAATAACACGACACTGCCTCTTTACAAATTGCACCACTGGTTATTGCTGTTGTTTTATTTGATTGTAAAATAAAATGGGTATTTTACTTGCACACATTTAAAGGCATTTGTAGCAGCTAAGGCGAGTCACACCAGGGGGGAAAAAAAAGAAAGCATTACTGGTAGCATTACCCTTCAGGAGAGAAAAAAAAAAGCCTTGTTGCAAGTAATTAAGATTGTACTTTTTTTTAAAAAAAACAAAAACTCAGAAGAGAAATGAAATTAGTATTTTACCTGCACCTTTTGCTGGGGATTGTCTTCCAGCTGTGAGGAGCTGTTCATAGTTTTCCATCGATCATTGACCATGTTGAGAGGAGAAGGATGGAGGTCAGGAAAAAAAACACACACATACACACAGTGTGTGTGTTAAGTCAAACCCTCTTCACTCAACTCCTGCAGAGATTCCAGTCCTTCCCTCACATCAGATTTCCTGCAGCTTTCTCTTTTTTTTCCCCTTCTACCAGAGAGAGAGAGAGAAAAAGAGAGAATTCTTTTAGCCCACCAAAACCAGACTGGTTTCTCCCACAAGCAGTTAATATCCATGGGATCTCATTACCAACACACACACACAATAAAATGCATCCAAATACACACAGTTGGACAGTTCCCTTGTGGTGAGTTTGAGTTGAGATCCCTGCTCAAACCACCATCCACATTCCTGCTTTCAGCTGAGTTACATTGAGATATATAGAGTTTGGTCCTGTTGTAGGAGATGTTAACTGCTTTGCAAGCTTTGCAGCAGAGCACAATTCTCTTTTGTCCCTGAACTAATCAGATCAGCAGGTAATGTTGAGGGGAGGGATAGTGGGCTGAGGCTTTCAGCAGAGAACAGTGTGATGGATCAGAGAGCAAGGCTGGATGCTTGCTGGATTCCTATCCCAGCTCCCTGGCTGAGATCCAGGCTTTTTGTGGGAGGGGAATAACAGTCCCATCAGCTCCTATCCCAAGCCTTATTCATCCTTCCCTCATTGCATGTCTCCCAAAGCTCAGGAGGTCCACCCAGGCTGCAATGATCCACTGTGGAGCAGTGAGCTCTCTGCTCTCCTCTTTATAATGCACGGTAGGTAGCTGACTGTGGAGGGATGCAGTCAAGCAAATTCCCTGTTGCAATGTTTGCCATCATAACACCAAAGCCTTACTTACCTTCTCTGAACGTACTATTTGCTGAAAATATTTAACTGGGGGTAAACTATTTGGCTTTCAATGCATATGTGTGTGTGTGTGTGTGTTTTTTTACAGAAGCTCCAGGGCATCCCAGACACAAACAGACTGCAAAGTACACTGCACACAGACAGAATCCTTCCTGACTATGTTTACTGCACCAAAAGTAAGCCTGATTATATATTGTGTTATTAGATGATGTAAGTTGATGGATGTGACACATCACGACATACATTGCGTGCGAATTGGCTGTTTCACCTACCATAAAAAATGCAGTCACTACACTTCACACCAGCCTTTTTTCCTTAGCTTGTTAACCCTGCAAGCTTACCCTTTAGTGGGCTTTTGGCTTGCGGGGTTAATAATTTCATTCAGGGGTGTTAGGAACCGCACAAAAATCCTATTCGATGTTACATTACTTATTAAAATAAACAAAAACCTCTTTGTATTTGTGATTTACTTGGTAGGATACAAGACGAGACGATTTGATCCAAAAATCTACCAGGGTGCTTCTGCATTTCTGAGTTGACTATGGAACTGTCTGTGTTTGTGTTACAAAGATAAAGCCATGGCATTACAGGGAGCCTGGGCATCATTTCCGCCATGGAATATTTTAACCTCAGAACAAAACAATACTTTGTTGAGCTCAAAGCCTCTAGAATAATAATAATAATCGTTGCATTTGATATAGAGTCTTATTGCGTCTTCGAGACGTCTCAAAGCGCTTCACAGAATATACTTTAAAGTGAATGGACTATATTTTTGAGGGATTATTACCCCCAAAAATCGATCAACTAACAACCGGGTTCCTATTTTCTGCTGGTTCGACGACATTTTGTGTGATTAGGAATTGAAGACATCAATAATGGTACAAATCTGCTTGTTTTATGTGTTTAACGTTCACATTTGACTTGAATTTAATGGGAATGATAAGTGGCCAGTATTTGGTACAGTGCAATACTAATAATCGTAATAATCCTTGCGCTTAGAATAGCGCCTTATCACGTCTTTGAGACGTCTCAAAGCGCTTCACAGAATATAGCGTAAAGTGAATTGACTGTGTATTTTGTGGGTGCAACACTATGTTTGCTGGATTAGGCTTGCAGCTGATTGCACCACTGAAGGCAAATCAGGGATTTCCCTTTTTTCATTCTAAAATCTTTTCCCAGATCAATTTGAAAACCTTTCTCAAAGCAGAATCAAATCGCAACGTATATCCCCCAAACCTAAAATGTTTATCCAGCACCTGCCACTCTGAGAGGCAGTTTCGTACCTGGCAGGTAATTAAGCATACACTCGAGGTGTATCAGAAACTGAGAGAGAGAGAGAGAGAGATACGGGCAATCCCAAATGTGGCGAGAGGGATTGATGGAATTGTGCAGCACCAGACGGACGGCACATCGGGGGCAGTGGCTATCAGCATCAGTAACACAATCTTCATATGGATTTGTTCCACCAAATAGCGAGAGAAAACACTGGCTCATTGTGTGCACGTCAGAAACTAAGGGAAATTATGAGAGTAATTTGATAGGACTCAGGAAAGCTTCATGGAAGTGGGATGGGAAAGACAACACAAATCAATAGGAATACGTTGTACAATACAATGCAAAATTACACTTGTGTAGCGCCGTTCACATCGGGAGGACGTCCCAAGGCTTTTGCAGATGAAAAGGAGCAATTAGTTGTGCTCATTGTTATCCGGTTTGCTGCTGTAGTCTAACCAGTTAAAACTGCATAGCTTGCCATTAAGAGCTTATTCAGTTCGGACCACCCTAACCGTCTCTGTCTGTCTGTCTGTCTGTCTGTCGTGCCCTCGAGTACTGTACTAGCTCAGGGTGTGGACTAGAGATTAGCACAGAGGTATGATTTATTCTGATATTCCATTGCCAAGCATGTCACTTTGTAGCTCCAAGGAGTCCCCGTTTACCCTATCCCCTACTCCCCCGAGGATAGTCATAGTCAGTAGTTGTTTGTTTGACATCCAACAAGAGCATTCAACATCTGGTTCGATCCTTTCACTGAAATCTTCTTTTTGGGAGTAGGATCTGACAGAGATTGCCAAAACAACAACAATAACAAGATTCCATTTATAGAGCGCCTTTCACGTCGGGAGGATGTCCCAAGGGCTAAAAAAAAGTTATTTTCTCTTGGTCTAATTGCTGAGTGGCCTCTATTTGACTGTTTGCTTCCTTACCTTCCTAAATGCAATATTCAGCATTTTTTGCACAACCGAACACATAGTGACTATGTATTTCAAGTGCTCTGGGATGCTATGCATTGTGAAGGAGGCGCTATATAAATACAAGTTGTTGTCATTATTAATTTCCCTCCTCTCCCCACTCTCTCCGCACCCCACAATATCATCAGACTTGATTACCATTAATAATAGTAATAATAATAATAAACTTTGCATTTGATATAATACCTTTCGCATCAGGAGGACGTCTCAAAGTGATGCTTTAGAGGATCAAAGTAAAGTGTAGTGACTGTATACTTTGTAGGTGAACATTTGGCAATCAAAACAGAGAGAAAGAGAACGAGAAAGCAACGCAGCGATGGACAGAAAGCGACTTTGCTGCATTTTTGAACACTTTTTGATACAATCCCCAAATCCCAAGATTCTCTTATATAAACACCGGGATTTTAGAGGCAACATTAGCAAATGGGATCCCAGGAACGGAGTTCCCGAGATTGCAACCTCCAGTTGGATTGTCAGCGTCGTCTGTGAATTCAAAGTCCTGACGTGGAGTTTGAATCTACTGCCGTCTGACCCAGAAGTGAGAGTGCTACAAACTGAGCCAGGCTGACGCTATAAACATAAGAAAGCGGGGAAAAACAGAGAGACCATTTGATGGCTCAAGCTGCTCGCTTTCAATCTCGGCACAATCCACGCTGGACTCCAGCTGAACCCGTATAAATTAGTCAAGGAAAAATTCTGCAAAGGCTACCCTCTTGAACAAGTTAACTTTTCTCTAACTAACTCTGCAACTCCGTTCTGCTCTACTGCTCTACACCGGGGATAAAAATCCTTCCAGAAAATAAAAATAATAATAAGTTGGTCACTCAATCCAGGAGTGTTCGTGGGACACTGCTGTGTGCAATTGGCTGCCGCGATTCACCCAAAGTGAAGATGTGATGAGGCGCTATATCAAATGCGAGAATTATTATTATGTTACATCTTGTGCTTTCCATCCATTCCAAGGTCCAAATAGCTCAGAAACCATCATGTGTCGTAAAACATTTAATTATCTCAACCTGCACTTATCCTTATAACCTTCAGTGCTGTTGCTAAACAGATTTTCAGCCAACTCTTTGCTTAAAGACGTTAATCAACACAGCTTAACTGCTTCATCTGGGATTCAATTCCACAAGGGCCGAATTTCCTTCTGATCTCAGGTTTTGCTCAAATCTTGCCAGTTTTATATTCAGGTTCCTTTGTTCTTACACTGATGTCATATAGTCCTGCTTATTCATCCATCTTTAAGGCAGCGAGCACGAAATTTCTAATGGTCTGCGCCTTAAATGCTCTATTAAACGCTGCGTTACTTAGGACTGACAGAAAAATGCTTCCAAATTTTGAAAAAAATCTCAAATTCTACATGATCTTGAATTTTAAGGAAAATAGCCTTCAGGCGAAGACCAGTGTTGCAATGGAACATTTCAGGGCGGACACCAGGAAGCTTTTCTATATCCCCTCTCAATATAATTAACAACTGGAACATGTTGCCAGAAAGGGTAGTTAAGGCCAGAACACTGGACTCATTTAAAGAACACTCCTATCCTATAGTATTCAACACAAGCTTCACTTGCTATAACTGCATGTATCATCGTCATCCTTGCATTTGATATAGCGCCTTATCATATCGTTGAGACATCTCAAAGTGCTTCACAGGAGATACTGTAAAGTGTCGTGGCCGTGTATTTTGTGCACGAAACACGGCAGCCGCTTGCGCACAGCAATGTCCCGCAAGCAGCCATGGAGTGAGTGACCAATTTTGTTTGAGGGATCGGGATCGTTGGTCAGGACACCGGGAGAGAGAAACTCTGTTCTCTTTTCAATTTGAAGCAAAATATTCAGCATTCTAACAAACCGCTGTGTAAAGACATTTCTCCTTGCCCTTCCTCCTCTACTGGTGACGATCCTTAATTTACGCCTTTGTTCCTGTGCTCACTGATCAGTGAAAATAGTCTCTTTCAACGCGGCTCATCAAAACCATTCATTATTTTGAAAACCTCTATTGGATTCCTTTAACCTTCTCTGCTCCAAGCAAAAATAAGTCCCAGCTTTTTAAATCCACATAACTACCTTTTCTCCTCTCTGATATTATCCCAGTCAATCTTCACTGCATACCTCTCTATAGTGGTGCTGCCTCCTATCTGATGGAGTGCTCAGAACTGGATGATATACTTCGACCTCAGACTGAGTCTTATGCAAACTTAAACCTTTCCCTTGTATCAATGGCCCAGTATATAAAACCGAGAAT